TTCAATCTCCTGATCAGAGACCTTGTTGCCGGATGTAGCTCTGCTAAAATGCGGGCTGAGATGTCTAATATGCTTGTGCAAATACAGTACTTATTCTACTGGATGGCAAAATTAAAAGGTTATTTGGGGATACAACTTCCTGTCCTTCATAGTTCTTAATAAATTTTGTCTTTTTGTCATTTCTAGTAAACCCTCTATTCTACCATTCATTAAGTATGTTATACATTGTTTTCCCCTGTCCTTCTTACCTTCAGTCTGCCTTGTGAGGATTGGATTTTTTAAGCCCTCTTTCCTCATTATGCACCCTAGAAATCCCAACTGTCACTTCCTGATGTTAAGTATAAGTTTCCTTTTTGTTTCTATTTTCTCGAAAAATTTGTCATTGCTCACACATTTGATCCATATTATTCTCAGTATCCTTCTGTAGAATCACATTTTTGTTGCCTCATGTCTCTGCTTCATCTTTGAGGAGATTGTCCAGCATTTACTGCCATATAGGAGGAGTGATATCACGTACCAGTTCAGTATTCTCTTATTTGTTTTTAGCAAAATGTTTCTGTTTCTTAATACTTTGTTTAGCCTTTTTAGAACAACTAATATAGAATTGACTATAGGAAATTCAGGTAGAGGTCAATGTCCCTGGTACCATCTTCATGGTCATGACAAAGTTGGAATCAAAGTTCCTTGAATCTTGGAATTACAGATATATCTTTGGTTTTTTCTTTAGCTCAGTATAGCTGCCTTGATTACACGTGGAAGATACTACTTAACAGCTAAGTGAGTTGCACTGTACAAACTTTGTGGACTGGGGATGGGTCATTTCTGCATCCCTAATTTTAGTTGTTGGGGGACATCTGGCAGGTCCAGATAACTACTGTCACAGAACTGCATCACTTGACTTGTACAACTGAATATCTATGGGAATCTGTTGCAAAAGTTTTGGGTTAAGTTTTTTCACAAAGCTCCTGGTAGTATCTATAGTATGGGCCCATTTTCTTACCTTTTAAAACAGCCAAAAAAATTTTAATGTTGAAAATTTTAGAATTTTGTCTGAACATATTATTCAATATTGTATAATTTTCTGCAAACAGAATAGAAAAAAAATCAAGTTTTTTGTTTTCGTCTTTATAAAGTGTTCCCAGAAGTCAGACTTATAAAAAAATCATTTCACCTTGAGCATGGTGATAATGGCACTAAGATGTGAGGAGTTACTGGAAGTGAAAGGAAATGAGAAGGCATTAGTGACAAGAAAAAACAATAAAAGGATAGAATTCAGGAAGACGGAAGATGGTGAGTGTTTGGCTGCAATAATTGTTTGGCTGCAAAACAAATCATGAAGACTACAAACTAATTCTATCTCTAATGACCTCTAGTGACTTTAGAGATCAAATTTGACCTTTTCTGTTTTGCTTTTGGTTTGTTTAAAGATCATTTTTTGTATTTTATGGCAGATTCAATATCTCATTCCATTTCGTTAGAAATTGCTTCTTTTTGGTAAGAAATTACTTGCTGTGTAATTTGATAACCACTGGTAGCATCAAATAATTGCTTAGATCAACCTTACATATCTTGTCTTATTACTCAAGGCTGACTGTTATTGATGCATGAAAAATGGGTCTTTTGGAATTTCCATTTGGACAGGATATTCACGCATGCACACACACACTCTCATTCTTTGTTTTGGTAATATAAATGATATATAGACATGTGTACGTATATGTGGTTATACGATGTAATTATATAATTACATTGTATAATTATCTCTTTTATGCTTGGTTTGTTTTTGTATTTTGCTAATATACTTTGAAAATTAGCAACTCTCTTAATTGCAAATAAAGATAACAGCAATGTGCAATCATTAAAATTTATGCCATAATCATCAGTTGTGATGTTAACAGCAAAATTGTCCATCCCACAAAATGTTTAATACCTAAAAAACTACTAAACTAATTGAGTCTCTTTTTACCAGGTTTACAGATAAGAAATTTAGCTATCTTGAAATCATTTGATATAAGAATCACTGAAAAATCCTTTCAGTTATTCAGCTAGAAAGAGAACAGGTTAAAATAATTTTGTGTCAGTCCCACTATATCTTACCAACTGAGCAATGGCAAGAGGAAAAAGATCATTCAAGCCTTCAGTATTGGTACCAACATTCATACCCTGGCTTCCATCTTCAAAGTCCATTCAAAAATCATCAAGAGAATGGTGAATAAGTTTAAAAAAGAGGGAACAATAGAGAGGAAAACTGGATTAGAATGTCACAACAGGAAGAGGGATCATCATTTCAACTTAGAGCTAAAGGGATCAATTAGAAAAGATCCAGTTCAATCCATAAAATGTTTGGCACATGAGAGAGGAGTTTTCAGCTAGAACAATCCAAAGAGGAGTGAAAAATGACTTGAAAATGAAATCGCATGTAAAAACTGTGAGGCACCTTATTACTCCAGGACAAAAGGTTAGAAGGAAGATCAGCTTGAATAAGTTGAAAAATGATCCTGGAATTATATATATATATATTTGAACTTTATTTCAATCTTTCATGAGTTTCCAATCCTTAGCTATGATTAATTAATGATGAACATGTCATTTTCATTTATGATCGATTTCATTACGATTCTTTGGTTAAGTTTGAAGAGTAATTATGCATTCTTATTTCTCAAAGTAGAGTCTGATAGTGTTATAAATAAACTTGGAAAATTCCAGTAAAATAAAATCATTTCTAAGATACAATGGTTCAAAGCTTAATCAAACAATTTTGCTGTTACACTTGGTGTGTGTGTGTGTATATATATATATATATATATATATATATATATATATATATATATATATATATGAAAATATATAGAAAATAGGAAGGAACTGGTTAGGTAAATAATCCAAAGTCTCTTAGTATTTTAGTTATTATTTTTAAAAAATAGTGCTCGATACAAAAGTAGAGCATAAATATAATTATTTATTTAAAAATATGATTCCAAATCGCTACATAAGAGGTCTCATGTTTCAAAACAAGAGCCTAAAACTTCAATATAATCCTTAAAATTAAATTGAGTTGAAAGTAAAATGGGCTCCGTTCCATCTTCAAGCGAAATTTTTGTTGGAATAACGTATATCTGAAATTTACTTGTTTTAAAAAAATGAAATCAAAATCCCCATGGTAACAGCTATGGTGAATTGTCTAAATTGGGTAGGCGAGTGTAGGGTGTTTATAATAAGTAGCGATATAGAGATGCTTTCAAGGTGTCAAGTCAATAAAAGGTGGGGGTGTCAAAAAAAATGAAACGGAAGATGTATTGGCCATCGTCTAGTTTGCTTGTCTATGGAGATTTATTTATTTTATTTTATTTTATTATGAAAGGGAATTGTGCATATAAAAAAAAAAAAACTTTCGTAACGTTTGTTTTTTTTGACGACTTCATAAAGGGTTATCTTATATGTAAGGTATTTAAACTATGATTTTAATTTTGATTTCAATTTTAAAACAAGTAAATTTCAGATATACGTTATTCCAACGAAAATTTCGCTTGAAGATGGAACGGAGCCCATTTTACTTTCAACTCAATTTAATTTTAAGGATTATATTGAAGTTTTTTACAGTAAAAATACAAGCAATATATTTTTATATAAAAAAATGACCAACAATACTTTTTTAGTAGGCATACAATGGCATTAAAAATATATTTAGTTGAATCTATAAAATTGTGTTCAAAATATTTAGATTTTGGCATTAAATAACCCATAGAGTTGTTGATATGTCACTGAACAAAATCAACCAACCAACTGACCAACATGAAAGAACTCTTTCTGGACATTAATCCATATAATATCCTACAATTTCTTAAAGAAATCAAACTGTATTCCAAAATATAACTTCAACAAAACTACAACATAAAACACACATATCACTGCCACTAGAAATTATGTCCACACAAATATGTACATGCACAAAAGCTGAGTATCATCTGCCATGTACTCAGCTGTGAAAGCAGAATAACATAAATCGTATTTTTACTACTTCAATGCTCCCCAAAAAATTAAAATTCAGTATTAAATGACCCATAAAGGAATTGATATGGTTTTTAAAAGAAAAATCAAATCAAATCAGGAATTCAAATATTCAGAATAAAAAAGAGAAGACAAGACTGAAAATGAAGAAGTAAACAAAGATTATTTAAATAAAGGTAATAAAGTGTTAAAATAACGAGGATACAATAATTGATTAAATACAAGTCTCAAGAGCTACTCAAGGTAGAGTATTACTGAATGTGGTGTATATGCACAAAAGCTGAGTATCATCTACCATGGATTCAATTGTGAAAGCAGAATAACATATATCATATTTTTATTACTTCAAAGCTCCCAAGAAAAATAAATTTGGCATTAAATGACCCATAAGTAGTTGATATGCCATTAAAAAAACAAATCAAATACATTTCATCACCTGCACACCCAAAAGAAGATATAGATCCAGCAAATGGCTAAAATATTTGGCAACTTCAGGCAAAAGAGTCTTTTCTACAACAAGACTGAGTAAATGCACTGAACATAATACATAGTCTATATAGGCCACTGAAATTATTAAATTTATTGATTATTAAATGCATTATCATTGGTTTCTCAAGTGAAAGCATATGTTCAAGTAAGATTTACTGTAATTCTGTGCATAAAGCTATGGATGAATGATTTTCCATTGGTAAAACTGTTTCAAAATATCTTAAAGCTTTGGTCTATTATATCATTATCGAACCAGAGTTAACTAGCTGGTGAATACGAATCAGGTTAAGCACAGCCAGCAATCATACACTACTAATAGTTTTTCTTCCTGTTTCACTTGTCCATCAGGTCAACATATTTTCCTTCCTTTTCCTCTTGTCCATCAGGTTGATATAGTTTTTCTTCCTTTTTCTCTTGTCCATCATGTCGATATTTTTTTTTCTACCTTTTCTCTCGTCAATCAGGCTGAAATAGTTTTTCTGCCTTATCCTTTTGTCCATTAGGTAGAAATAATTTTACTTACATTTCCTCTTTTCCATCATGTCAACATATTTTTCTTCCTTTTCTTCTTGTCCATCATGTCAACATATTTGTTCTTTCTTTTCTGCTTGTCCATCAGGTTGAAATAGTTTTTCTTCCATTTCCTCTTGTCCATCAAGGCAAAATAATTTTTCTTTTCCCTCTTGTCAATCAGGTCAAAATAGTTTTCTTCCTTTTCCTCTTGTTCAATAGTTCAGCATTTGTTTTCATCATTTTCCTCTTGTCCATCAGGTTGACATATTTTTTCTTCCTTTTCCTCTCGTTCATCAAGGCGAAATAAATTTGTTCCTTTTCCTTGTGTTTCAGGACAAAACAGTTTTTCTTTCTTTTTCTCTCGGCCATCAGGTTGAAAAAGTTTTTCTTTCTTTTCCTCTTGTCCATCAGGTCAACATAAATTTTCTTCCTTTTCCTCATGTCCATCAAGGTGAAACAGTTTTTCTTCCTTTTCCTCATGTCCATCAAGGCGAAATAATTTTTCTTTGTTTCACTTGTCCTTCTGGTCAACATAATTTTCCTTCTTTTTCCTCATGTCCATCAGGTCAACATTGTTTTTCTTCCCTTTCCTCTTGTCCATCAGGTTGAAACAGTTTTCATCCTTTTCTTCTTGTCCGTGAGGTCAGCGGTTTTTCTTCCTTTTCCTCTTGTCCATCAGGTCAAAATTGTTTTTCTGCCTTTTCCTCTGGACCACCAGTTCAGCAGAGTTTTTTTTTCCTTTTCCTGAAGTCCATCAAGGTGAAATAGTTTTTCTTCCTTTTCCTCTTATCCATCAGGTCAACTTTTTCTTCCATTTTCAGGTCAAGTGTTTTTCTTGTCATTCACTTTGAAATAGTTTTTCTTCCTTTTCGTTTTGTTCATCAAGGCCAAATAATTTTTCTTCTTTTTTCTCTTGTTCACCTGGTCAACATGGTTTTTCTTCTTGTCCATCAAGTCAAAGCAGTTTTTCTACCTTTTCCTTTTGTCCATCAAAGAAAATCAGTTTTTCTTCATTTTCCTCTTGTCTATCAGGTGTCATGGTTTTCTTTCTTTTTCCTCTTCTCTATTACGTCTACATATTTTTTCTTCCTTTCCTCTTGTCCATCAAGGTGAAACAGTTTTTCTTCCTTTTCCTCTTGTCCATCAGGTCAAAATAGTTTTTCTTCCTTTTCCTCTTATCCATCAGGTCAACATGGTTATTCTTTCTTTTCTTGATGTCAGTTTGAAATAGTTTTTCTTCTTTTTCCTCTTTGTCCATCAGGTTGACATATTTTTTCTGCCTTTTCCTCTGGACCACCAGTTCAGCAGAGTTTTTCTTCCTTTTCCTGATGTCCATCAAGGTGAAATAGTTTTTCTTGCTTTTCCTCTTATCCATCAGTTCAACATACTTTTTCTTCCATTTCCGCTTGTCATTCAGTTCAAAATAGTTTTTTTCTTTTTCTCTTGTCCATAAAGGCAAACTAATTTTTCCTCATTTTTCTCTTGTAGATATGGTGAACATGGTTTTTCTTCCTTTTCCTTGTATGTATCAGGTGATCAGTTTTTCTTTCTTTCCTTTTGTCCATCAAAATGAAATAGTTTCAGTTCCTTTTCCTGTTGTCTATCTGGTCAACATAGATTTTCTTCCTTTTCATCTTGTCCATCAGGTCGAAATAGTTTTTCTTCCATTTCCTCTCGTCCATCAAGTCAAAACAGTTTTTCTACCATTTCCTTTTGTCCATCAAGGAAAAACAGTTTTTATTCCTTTTCCTCTTGTCCATCAAGTCAATATAATTTTCTTCTTTTTCCTCTTGTCCATCAAGTCGACGTATTTTTTCTTCTTTAACCTCTTGTCCATCAAGGTGAAATAGTTTTTTCTTGTTATTCAAGGTGAAATAGTTTTTCTCTCATTTCCTCTTGTCCATCAAGGTGAAACAGTTTTTCTTCCTTTTCCTCTTGTCCATCAGCTCAGCCTGCTTTTTCATACTTTTCCTCTTGTCCATGAGGCTTTCTTCCTTTTGTATAGTCTTCATTTTCCTCTTGTTCATCTTGGTGAAACAGATTTTTTTTCCTTTTCCTATTTTCCATTAGGTCAACAGTTTTTCTTTCTTTACCTCTTGTCATTCAGTTCGAAATAGTCTTTATTCCTTTTCCTCTTGTCCATAAAGGTGAAATAAATTTTCTTCCTTTTCCTCTTGTCCATCTGGTCAACATGGTTTTCCTTCCTTTTTCTCTTGTGTATCAGGTGATCAGTTTTTCTTTCTTTTCCTCTTGTCCATCAAGATGAAATAGTTTCTTTTGCTTTTCCTTTTGTCCATCAGGTCGAAATAGTTTTCTCCCTTTTCCTCTCGTCCATCAAGGTGTAATAATTTTGCGTCCTGTTTTGTTTGCCCATCAGGTCAACATATTTTTCTTCCTTTTCCTCTTGTCCATCAGGTGAACATAGTTTTTCTTTGTTTTCCTCTTGTCCATCAGGTCAACATACTTTTTTTATCCATTTCCACTTGTCCATCAGGTCAAGAGTTTTTCTTTCTTTTCTTCTTGTGCATCAGTTCAACATAATTTTTCTTCTTTTCCTCTTGTCCATCAAGGCAAAACAGTTTTTCTACCTTTCCGTTTTGTTTATCAAGGGAAAGGAGTTTTTCTTTCTTTTCCTCTTGTCCATCAGGTTGAAACAGTTTTCTCCCATTTCCACTTGTCCAGCAGGTGAACATAGATTTTCTTCCTTTTCCTCCTGTCCATTAGGTGAACAGTTTTTCTTCCTTTTTCTCTTGTCCATCAGGTCGAAATATTTTTTTTACTTTTCCTGTTGTTCATCAAGGCAAAACATTTTTTCTTCTTTTTCTTTTTGTCCTTGAAGGAAAAATAGTTTTTCTTTCTTTTGCTGTAGTCCATCAGGTAGAAACAGTTTTCATCCTTTTCTTCTTGTCCGTGAGGTCAGCGGTTTTTCTTCCTTTTCCTCTTGTCCATCAAGTCAACACAATTTTTTTATCTTTTCGCCTTGTCCATCAAGTCAATATAATTTTCTTCTTTTTCTCGTTCTTTTCCTCTTGTCCATGATATCAACATAGGTTTTCTTCCTTTTCCTTTTGTATATCAGGTCGAAATAGTCTTTCTCGTTTTCCTCTTGTTCATCATGGTGAAATATTTTTTTCTCAACCGTTTTTTTTTTCTTTTCCTCTTGTCATTCAGTTCTAAATAGTCATATTCCTTTTCCTCTTGTCCATAAAGATGAAATAAGTTTTCTTCCTTTTCCTCTTGTCCATCTTGTCAACATGGTTTTCCTTCCTTTTCCTCTTGTGTATCAGGTGATTCAGTTTTTCTTTCTTTTCCTCTTGTCCATCAGGTCAAAATATTTTTTCTTCCTTTTCTTCTTGTCCATCAAGATGAAATAGTTTCTCTTCCTTTTCCTTTTGTCCATCAGGTCAAAATAGTTTTTCTTCCTTTTCCTCTTGTGCATCAAATCAACATAATTTTTCTTCCTTTTCCCCTTGTCCATCAAGGCAAAATCGTTTTTCTTCCTTTTCCTTATTTCATCAGTTCGAAATAGTTTTCTTCCTTCTCCTCTCGTCCATCAAGTCGAAATAATTTATCTTCATTTTCTCTTGTCCATCTAGGCAAAATAGTTTTTCTTCTTTTTCCACTTGTCTCTCAGGTTGACATAGTTTTCTTTCCTTTTGCTCTTATCGATCATGTTGAAATAATTTTTCTTCATTTCTTCTTGTGCGTGAGTTCAACAGTGTTTCTTTCTTTTCCTCTTGTCCATCAAGGCAAAACAGTTTTCCTACATTTTCCTTTTGTCCCTGAAGTGAACAGTTTTTCTTCTTTATCCTCTCTTCCATCCAGTTGACATATTCTTTATTTGTTTTCATCTTGTCCAGTGGGCCAACATAGTTTTTCTTCATTTTCATGTTGTCCATCAAGGCAGAATAATTTTTGTTCCTTTTCCTCTTGTCCATTTGGACAACATGGTTTTTCTTCCTTTTCCTCTTGTGTATCAGATGAACAGCTTTTCTTTTTTTTCCTCTTGTCAATCAGGTTGAAATATTTTTTTGTTTTTCTCTTGTCCATCGAGATAAAATATTTTTATTTCATTTTGACCGTGTCCATCTGGTCACCACATTTTTTCTTCCTTTTCCTCTTATCCATCAAGGCAAAATAGTTTTTTTCCTTTTACTGTTGTCTATCAGGTGAACAAGTGTTATAAAATAATATAAGACATATCTCGGCTGATTTACAGGCAAATACTTAAGAGCAAGAGCCGGATGTGAACGGGACAAAACCCCGTCACAAAATGACCATTATCTTTCTTTACAAATGTTCCAGACACACGTGTTCCGGTCGAAAAATAAAATAATATTTAAAGTGCTCTATTTTTCGTCCAATAAAAATGCTTCCCTCCTAATTATACTCGCTTCGTTTTTCGAGCCTGTTAAGCCATAAAAAACGCTATAAAAGGGGTCACACGGAAGTTCAACAGCCAGTCAACAGGTGGCCACAAAGTAGACCTGTCACGGTCAGGCCGAGCGTTCAGCAGCTGTCAGCAGGAGAGCACCAACCACCGTCAACATGTGTAAACTACTATGAGAGATCGACCTAGATCCGAAAGCCGGCTTATGAACTTTACCACACCAAGGTAGCTGTCCCAAACCCTCACGTTCCTGTTGAAATAAACCACGTAAATCTATTTCTACTGTTGTCGTATTTCTTTCTTGCAACCATACGCTTGTCTATAACACTGGTGTCAGAAGCGTACAGCAAGAGAAATATGGCCGACTACACGAGCTTCACCCGAGCCGAACTATTTACTCTCATCAAGGAACAGAAAACATTACTATTCAACTTGAAAACGGGACCAACACAGCCTTCCGAAGCCACGATACAGGAAATTCAAGCCGACATAAACGACACGCTGACTGCCCTAAAATCAACTACTTCAACACCTCCCATCGCTCAAACAAACGGCGATTACAGCTTAATGATGCGCCAACAAACTATACGCGACATATTGAAGCTAGAGAGAACTTTCCACCCTGGACACGACGTGAACCGATTCATCACGGCCCTAAACAAAGCATTCACAATCCACGTCACGCCAGAACTCAGCACCTATCCCAGCCTGGAAAGCGAATTCGTCAAGTCTGCTAAAGATTTACTGGACCAAAGTATCTTTCAGCAAATGGTTGACTCAAAAAAGCACATATCCACCTTCGAACAACTGAAGGAATACTTGTTAGGAGCCCACGGAAGCCAGATGACTAACTTCCAACACCTCAGTCAAGCTTGGAACCTGGAACGGTGAGACGGCGAAAAATTAACAGAATTCGCGGGTCGACTCGAAAACACCATTAGAGAGGCAGCCGTCCACATAAAAAACAAATACAAAAAAGACAAAAATACAGACTTAACAGTCGATGGACTTATTTCCATCATCGGAGCTATGCTAATGAGCGAAAAGGTGAAAATTTGGAACTCAAATCTCTACCCACATCTCGTCAAGACAATGGACAATCACTATTCAGCCAGTGGCATAGCCTCCGAAGCCCAAATATACCTTGATCGCGGTGTAAAATCCAACGACACAACTTCGCACAACACTGTGTATTTCACACAGAAACCACAGCGGTCAAACCAAAGAAACGCGCCACTCCGACCCAGCAGGCAACCAAACCCACAGCAGACGGGCCTCACCAACCCTCCCGAACATGGCCACCATCCGACACGCAGAAACCATCAGCACACACCATGAATCAGCGTGTGCAAGAACTACCTCAGAGGTCGCCCCTGCCACCATGGACGCAACTGTGTATATCGCCACCCACCTCGCACTCGGGCACAGGCCCATATCGCCGCAACGAATGACAATATATATAAGCCATAAATGATGTGGAACAGGATTTTCGCTTCGGGCAGGACGAGATGTGATGCCTCGTTCACCATGCCCCTACGTCAGCCATCACACATTCAACTTTCAAAGACTCGCTCACCATTCACCGCTCGTCCAGTCCACCTTCAACTTCAGGGACATCACCTTCTCTGGCGTCGCAATGCTAGACTCTGGATGCTCCACCTGCATCGTACCAATATCTCCGTTACCCAGAGAAGCCAAGAAACTCATGACCCGCTCCGACGTCGTAGTAAAAGGAATCAACGACAGGACCACCGCCCTCGGCGAACTGACTTTGCGATATCACCATCGGCAGTCGAGACTCATCCACATTCAAAAAGGTTAACGTGCTGGTAACTACCCAAACCACACCAATCCTGATCGGCCAAAGTATCCATCGTCACAACACGCTCGATTCCTATCTAATCGACAACCAAAATGCGACTATAGAATTCAGACGCACACTTTCCTCAGGATATACAACACACTCAGCCGCAATCATATCACCGTCATCGTCAACAAACGATCCAGCATATGGCGCCCAAGCTTACATCATTCAAAACCAGCCTACTATGGAACTACAGCCCAACATCCAGACACTGGATCAAAAGCTAACCTGGCTAAAACATAACACGGGACTATCGCTACCAAACCACCCGAACCGAGACGAACTAGAGGCCACTGCAAACTTACTCATTCGCTACGCTGACATTATCGGCACCGAAAGCAGCAGCAAAGGCACATTCATCCGACCCATCCGCATGCCAACAAACGGCCAGTCTCGCAGCCAGAAACAACACCCAGGCTTTGGAAGCAGACGTAGATACCGAAATTAAGCGTATGGCTGATGAAGGTATCATTGAAAACTGCAGCGACCCCAAAGGCTTCAATAGCCCTGTATTTGCCGTACGCAAGAAAAACGGATCGATTCGTGTCGTTGCTAACATTAAAAGAACTCTCAACAAGGTCTTAGTCGATATTGACCCTTACCCAATGACAAGGATCGACCACTTGTTCAACAAAATCGGCAAAGGCAATAGATATTTTACTACCCTCGATCTACGCAGCGGCTACTGGCAAATTGAGATCGACAAGCGAGACCGATACAAAACAGCATTTACATTACCAATGCTATCAATACACGCGCCTGGCCTTCGGCCTTGCATCTGCCGGACAAATCTTCTCCCGTTGCATAGCAGAAGCCCTAGCCACGGTCACATCCCGTGACAACATTTCTTCCTATATCGACGACAACCTGGTCCACGCTAGGACATTTAGGGAGTACATACTCTCCCTCGAACAATTTTTTACTGCCGTCCGAAAATTCGGACTCAAGCTGAATCCCGATAAATGTTCCTTCCTCGCATCAGAGGCAAAATTCCTCGGACGCATAGTAAACAGCGAAGGATTCAAGGCTGATCCAGAATACGTTCGTGCCATCAGGGAAATGAAACCTCCAACATCAAAAAAGGAATTACAAAGCCCTATCGGCCGTTTAGTGTGGATCAGACAATTCCTAGAAACACGTCTTCACGAACAAATCAGGTCAGATATGTTTTCAAAACTTATGGGTCCCATACACGAACTCAACAAGGTTAATAAACCGTTTGTCTGGACGCAAAATGCCGACAGAGCCTTCAAAAAAATCAAGGACCGTCTCTCTTCACCACCTGTCATCTCGTTTCCAGATTTCTCCAAACTTTTCACACTTAGCACCGACGCCAGTGACGTCGCATGTGGAGCAATCTTAATGCAAGAAGCCGACAACGGGAAGAAAGATATCATAGCGGTCGTTTCCCATACATTCAACTCCACGGAACAGAACTGGTCCACGACGGAACGAGAGGCATATGCAATAAAGTGGGCAATATTAAAATTTGATTATTTCCTTCGCAACCGCCCTTCGTCATCTTCACCGACCACAGATCGCTGACATATCTGGACCAACGAGAGTTCAATAATGCCAAAAATACGACGATGGCAAGAAGAAATTTCATGTTATAAATTCGTCTTGGAATATGTTGAAGGCGAATCAAATGTATGGGCTGACATGCTCAGCAGAGGTTGCGGACATAAGAAAACGAAAGCCCCGAACGACCCTACACCGGCAGGCAGGACATTCGAGGTAAGCGGTTCAGACCTCCGCGTATACATCCCATCTTGGTGCCTCGGCGAGTTTAACGGTTTACAGCTCATTCCCAAAACTCACACACCACAAAACGCCCGCACCCACAAGCGCGCCACCAACGCATTCTTCGCCTATCACTCCACCACCACCATCCCCATTGAGAGAATCTGCAACCACCTCGGCATCGCAGATGAACAACAGAAGGACGACGCCCTGGCAAAGATCATGAGCGCCCTCCAGTCACCCACTCCAAGCGAACCTCATATCGATCCTGACGACCACCGAGCTACGCTTTTCAAAAAACATTTGAATGTAATTTTTCTTCCTTTTCCCCTTGTCCATCAAGGCAAAATCGTTATTCTTCATTTTCCTTTAGTCCATCAGATCGAAATAGTTTTCTTCCTTCTCCTCTCGTCCATCAATTCAAAATAATTTATCTTTATTTTCTCTTGTCCATCTAGGCAAAATAGTTTTTCTTCTTTTCCCACTTGTCTCTCAGGTTGACATAGTTTTCCTTCCTTTTGCTCTTATCGATCATGTTGAAATAATTTTTCTTCATTTCCTCTTATCCATCAGTTCAACAGTGTTTCTTCCTTTTCCTCTTGTCCATCAAGGCAAAATAGTTTTCCTACATTTTCCTTTTGTCCATGAAGTGAACAGTTTTTCTTTATTATCCTCTCATCCATCCAGTTGACATATTTTCCTCTTGTCCATCTGGGCAACATGGTTTTTTCCTTTTCCTCTTGTGTCTCAGGTGAACAGCTTCTCTTTCTTTTCCTCTGTCCATCAGGTTGAAATAGTTTTTCACCCTTTTTGTCTTGTCCATCAGTTCAATATATTTTTCTTCCTTTTCTTCTTTTCCATCATTTTCAAAAAGTTTTTCTTCCTTTTCTTCTTGTTAATCACGTTAACATTTTTCTTCCATTTTTCTTCTCCATCAAGACAAAATAGTTTTTCTTCCTTTCCCTCTTGTCTATAAGAATAATCCAGAATAAAATTTCTGATGATAACAGAACCATACCAGAAATAGGACAAGAACATTATGCATTCATTAAAGACACTGGAACAAAAATTCCAATTGTAAGGAGGAAGTTCCTCAGAACTGCTACTTAGTTGAAAAAAAATCCCATATAGATCTTCCCAGAATCACTGTAATCTTAACTGCTTCAATCAACTGTCTGTCAATGTCTATCCTCCCTATTCTCATAATCTTCATTTCTTTCTACCTCTTTTACTGTAATTCTCTACCATAATGGCTCATGAGTCTTGTATTGGGTGAATATTATTAAAAAAATTATGTAATACTTAATCTCTATCAAATTCTTTTAATAAAATTGGATATGGAATTATATTATTTTTTATCTTTAATTTTTCTAGGAAAAAATATGCCTGGTATATTGTTGCTGCTGGAGGCTGTCTTCTTCTAGCCACAATGACTTGTAAGTAAATCTATATAAATAATGAAGTTTTAGACCAAGTACAATAGAGAAATATTGTCCAGTTGTCACAGTTTTTGAATTAATCTGAAGAGTTTTCTTTCAGGATCCTCATCAGTTATCCTAACATATTTTCCTTAATCTCATCTATGACTTGAGATAACCTTCCTTTGAACAGTAATGATTTTATCTTTATGAAAATGATATACAATATGGCTGGACACTTAATGAACTGTTTTTTGGAATTCTCATGCTATCAATTTCCAATTTCATTTGATTGCAGCTTCCATGCATTCAACTTGAGTGTATCATTTTGTTAAAGACCTTCCAGAATGTGGATTATGTTCTAGACTTTTAGTCAGGTGGGAAGCATTGGTACCAAAACTTTATCTGTACTTCATCCATTGAATCATCCCACTATCCAAAATATTCATGACTGTTAATTTTGATAGACATATATCCAAATTTCAAGCAAATGCTAATGCTTATTCAGTGTAAACTGAAAGAATGAAAGAGCCACACAATACATAAGTTTGTCAACTGAATAACCTCATGGGATAGTTTGTTCACATTAGCATGTTATGGTTCATTCTGATTGCTTCCAAAGTTACATGAAATGCAGTGCAATCGGTGCCTAGGATATTCAAAATGGTGTTCCATAAACGGTAAACTTTTGGTTTTTATTAGTAACATTATTTCTTCAAAACATTTTTGCTGTTGTGACCTCTAGCCTTCTTCAAGTTTCTGTCAATCTGGGTAGCCTCCAGAGAATTTCAAACTGATCCTTTTATTCAATCTCTAAGGGCAGTGTGTTGTCATTCATATTTCTATAGATATATCCCTGTTATAGTTGTTCAATTATTGCTAGTCTTATTTATGTTGAGTCTGAGTCTGTACTACTGAGCCCAGGGATTGAACTCACAACAGCTTAAAGCGTTGAAGGATTGGTTCATGAATTTAGTGGCATAGTAATTGTAAGTTCAATCCTTGGGCTGAGTAGTACATGATTCTCTGGCTTATTAACAGCTTGCAGGTTATTTAAAGCCAGAAAATACTTTTAGATTGTTGGAATTATTATTTTTTTAGTGTGCGTAGGAGATAATAGTATTTTAGTGATACAAGTCTTACTAATTAACCCATAGCTGGGGTAGGGAGTGGTGGATTCATACCTATCCCAAGAGTATTCATGCATAAGTGAATATAACGAACGCAACTGGAATTGGAACTCGGCTCTCTGATTAACAATTCCAAGCCATTATCCATGACACCACCTGCACATCCTAGCTTACAACACCTGGTATTCTGAAGTGGTCACTCATCTAGGTACTGACCAGGCTCGATGTTGCTTAACTTCAGTGGTCGTACAGTAACTGGTGTTTCAACGTGATATGGCTGTGAGACTTGGGTTGTACAGACTCAGATTCAGTGGAAGCAGATTGAATAAATGATTGTAAATTGTCGCCATTTTATATTTTTAATTCATGCATTGTTTGTTTTTGATCTTGTTTGTTGACTGCACAGTATAGTGGGATCAGTTGGGCACTATCAGTGAGAAAAAGAGCAACCTGATGAAATTTACTCCACCAGAAATTTGATAATTGATGTTAAGCAATGTTGAGCCTGGTCAGTATCTAGATGGGTGAACACTTTGGAATACCAGGTGCTGTAAGCATGGATGTTGTAATGGCTTAGAATTGTTAATCAGAGAACTACATTCTAATTCCAGTTGGGTTCATTTATTTGCTTACAGGCAAATATCCTTGTGAAAGGTGGGAATACACCTTTTTTCTCCTCAGCTATGGGTTAATTAGTAAGACGTATATCATTAAATCATTATCATCACCCCATTCCCACAAAATTCTTAGCATTGTCTTGTCAGCCACAATGAATAGTTGCACTCTCAAAGAGGAACTATGCTTTGAATATATCTATTAGGTGGGTCTTAAGTTCATATCAGACCTCAAGTGGAACCCATATATATGATCCATTGGTAAAGATGCTGGAAAAAAGGTCAACTCATTCAGTTGCTCCAGGAAGTACCCAAATTCTCCTGCTATGCTTTATCTTTACAAGAGTCAGATTAGACCAAAGATGGAATATTGATGCCATGTTTGGGCTAGAGTTGCTTGATACTGACTTTCCAGGCTAAATGGAGTTCAGAATTGTTTGTATTGCTTGTGGGGGGGGGAACTTATTCTCTGCTCTTCAGCCTTTATCCCACAGACAAAACATTTGAAGCCTATTGCTACTCTGTTGTTATTGACATAGAAAATGTTCAGATTTTTTTAGTTCTGCTAGTTCAGATTTTGAAGCTAGGACATGCCATTCTATACTTTCACAAAGTTGAATCATCCTCATTTTCACCATAGTTTTAATAGTAATCATCTAATCATCTAGATTTCAGCATGAAATAACCCATAAAGATTGATATGCCACTAAAAAAATCAACCAAACCAATCAAAATATTTAGATTTCAGCATGAAATAACCCATAAGGATTGATATGCCACTAAAAAAATCAACGAAACCAAATTAATCAAAATATTTAGATTTCAGCATGAAATAACCCATAAAGATTGATATGCCACTAAAAAATCAACCAAACCAATCAAAATATTTAGATTTCAGCATGAAATCCATAATCCATAAAAATTGATATGCCACTAAAAAAAATGAAATAACCCAAAAGATTGAATTAAAAAAATCAAAATATTTAGATTTCAGCATGAAATAACCCATAAAAATCATTGATATGCCACTAAAAAAAAAATTAATTAAAATACCAATTTCAAAAATATTTGCCACTAAAAAAATCATTTCCAATCAAAATATTTAAATAATCCCATAAACATTGATATGCCACTAAAAAAATCAACAAACCAAATTAATTAAAATATTTAGATTTCAGCATGAAATAACCCATAAAGATTGATATGCCACTAAAAAAATCAACCAAACCAATCAAAATATTTAGATTTCAGCATGAAATAACCCATAAACATTGATATGCCACTAAAAAAATCAACGAAACCAAATTAATCAAAATATTTAGATTTCAGCATGAAATAACCCATAAAGATTGATATGCCACTAAAAAAATCAACCAAACCAATCAAAATATTTAGATTTCAGCATGAAATAACCCATAAAGATTAATATGCCACTAAAAAAATCAACGAAAAAATATTTAGATTTCAAATTAACCAAAAATATTTATGCCACTCAAAAATCAACCAAACCAATCAAAATAACCCATAAAATAATTGATATGCCACTAAAAAAATCAAACCAAATTAATCAAAAGATTTCAGCATGATTTAAAAGATTTCCACTAAAAAATCAACCAAACCAATCCATAAAAATTGATATGCCACTAAAAAATCAACGAAACCAAATTAATCAAAATATTTAGATTTCAGCATGAAATAACCCATAAAAGATTGATATGCCACTAAAAAAAATCAACCAAACCAATCAAAATATTTAGATTTCAGCATGGAATAACACATAAAGATTGATATGCCACTAAAAAATCAACGAAACCAAATTAATCAAAATATTTAGATTTCAGAATGAAATAACCCATAAAGATTGATATGCCACTAAAAAAATCAACCAAACCAAAATCAAAATATTTAGATTTCAGCATGAAATAACCCATAAAAAGATTAATATGCCACTAAAAAATCAAAATATTTAGATTTCGAAACCAAATTAATCAAAATATTTAGATTTCAGCATGAAATAACCCATAAAGATTGATATGCCACTAAAAAAATCAACCAAACGAATCAAAATATTTAGATTTCAGCATGAAATAACCCATAAAGATTGATATGCCACTAAAAAAATCAACGATACCAAATTAATCAAAATATTTAGATTTCAGCATGAAATAACCCATAAAGATTGATATGCCACTAAAAAAAATCAACGAAACCAAAATAATCAAAATATTTAGATTTCAGCATGAAATAACCCATAAAGATTGATATGCCACTAAAAAAATCAACGAAATCAAATTAATCAAAATATTTAGATTTCAGCATGGAATAACCCATAAAGATTGATATGCCACTAAAAAAATTTAACCAAAAAGATTGATAATCAAAAAAATCAAACCAAACTATTTATTTAGATTTCAGCATGAAATAAGCCATAAACATTGATATACCACTAAAAAAATCAACCAAATTAATTAAAATATTTAGATTTCAGCATGAAATAACCCATAAAGATTGATATGCCACTAAAAAAATCAACGAAACCAAATTAATCAAAATATTTAGATTTCAGCATGAAATAACCCATAAACATTGATGTGCCACTAAAAAAATCAACCAAACCAATCAAAATATTTAGATTTCAGCATGAAATAACCCATAAACATTGATATGCCACTAAAAAAATCAACGAAACCAAATTAATCAAAATATTTAGATTTCAGCATGAAATAACCCATAAAGATTGATATGCCACTAAAAAAATCAACCAAACCAATCAAAATATTTAGATTTCAGCATGAAATAACCCATAAACATTGATATGCCACTAAAAAAATCAACGAAACCAAATTAATCAAAATATTTAGATTTCAGCATGAAATAACCCATAAAAATTGATATGCCACTAAAAAAATCAACTAAACCAATCAAAATATTTAGATTTCAGCATGAAATAACCCATAAAGATTAATATGCCACTAAAAAAATCAACGAAACCAAATTAATCAAAATATTTAGATTTCAGCATGAAATAATCCATAAACATTGATATGCCACTAAAAAAATTCACCAAACCAAATTAATCAAAATATTTAGATTTCAGCATGAAATAACCCATAAAGATTGATATGCCACTAAAAAAATCAACGAAACCAAATTAATCAAAATATTTAGATTTCAGCATGAAATAACCCATAAACATTGATATGCCACTAAAAAAATTCACCAAACCAAACCAATCAAAATATTTTGATTTCAGCATTAAATAATCCATAAAGATTAATATGCCACTAACCAAAATCAACCAAACCAAACTAATCGAAATATTTAGATTTCAGCATGAAATAACCCATAAAGATTGATATGCCACTAAAAAAATTCACCAAACCAAACCAATCAAAATATTTAAATTTCAGCATTAAATAATCCATAAAGATTGATATGCCACTGAAAAAATCAACCAAACCAAACTAATCAAAATATTTAGATTTCAGCAAGAAATAACCCATAAAGTTTCATATGCCACTAAACAAAATCAACCAAACCAAACTAATTGAAATATTTAGATTTCAGCATTGTTGTGATGATATAACCCAACTTCCCCATTCACGATAATGGACGGACTGGTTGCCGATTAAGTACGACCACAGCGGACAGTCGTCATGTCTTCGTTTGTTAACACCTATTGAGGTTAGGTGTGTCAAGTACAGAGACAGAGTCGGGAGTATTCCCGACTCTGTCTCTGTACTTGACACACCTACATCCGATTATAAACCTATTATTGAAAACCAACACTCGGGTTACTTTATTTATTATATCTTGCACGAGATATAACAGCTGGCGACGAGGATTGTGCAACGTACTTACTTGAAAAAAAAATGTATATATATATCAGATTACGCTGAACGGATTTCGAAAGCAGATTCGCAAGTCAAGGATATCATTTGACGCCGATTAGGATTTCGAAAGCGGAGTCACAAGTCAAAAGGAAACTTTTTGAAAAGTAAGAAAATTTTTACTGTTAAATTGTGATTTAAAAAATATATATTGACCCGCGACTCAAATGCGAGCCGGTCTAATAATTGATTATTCAAGTAAAAATTACGGGTTGTAAAAATATTACGGCTGTAAATTGTTAACCGTCTAAGAAAAAAAAAAAAAAATTTTTTTTGTCGAATTCTAAATAAAATCAGGATGGAGCAATTAGTCGAAATGACTAAAATGCTGTGTACAAGCTTGCAACAGCAACAACAACAGCATCAAGAGTTACAACAACAGCAACAACAACAGCACCAAGAGTTACAACAACAAATACTGCAACAGCAAAAAGTCTCGAAAAATTCTGAAACAAGCGACTGGAGAAAGAAAAAAAATGCTGTTTTTTTTGCCGAAGGAATAGCAAATTCATTATCCGAATTTATATATGTACCGGATTCGGGCATTACATTTCCAGCATACTTTAAACGTTTCGAAACTATATTTACCAAGAGATGTCAACATTGGTCGGATGAGGAACGAGTAACATTATTAGTCCAGAAACTAGGGACAAACGAGAATACGAAAGTACTCAAACTTGATATTGCCCAGAAAGCCAGAAGAAGTTTCGTTTGAAGAAACTATAAGTATTCTGTCAAAAATATTTGACGAAAGGAATAGTCTGTTCCACACGCGA